TAGGATTTAAAATGGTTAAATAAAAATTTAGATTTATTTATTCGAAGAAAGAATAAATTGTTCAAATTTGGAAATATCGGTGACATCTAAATTTTAACTAACGTCTGTTTCCCTGTCTGTTCCTCCTTAATCTCTAAAACGTAGTTAGATAGATGAAAGTAAAAACCAGATATGGAGAGCAGGGAACTTCCATTAAGTGTATACGAACTCCTGAACAGAAAAAGCATGATGTACAAAGCAAAACCCTAATAAAATTGAAAACAATGTAACGAAAAACTGCAAACTGTCATTGTGACAATGTAAACAATAATTAATTGTTAGTTTCATTTTTTACTTATTTATCTTTTTCCAAACGCACGGTTTATATTCAAGTTGCAACGAATAGTATATTCGGCCAAACTATTTGGCTTGATTAACGCATGTACGAAAATTGGCGAGCAAACCGCATTTTAGCAAAGACCCTGCACTCTATTGGCCCACTGTCACTACGCTTCACCTATCGCGTTAATTCTTGACAGTTCAGACAAGAGCGTCATGGCGGTATGTGATAAGTGATGATATCAAATGTGGATAACAATGAAATGACCTACACGTATAAATAACAGAAGAAGAACAGAGAAGGACAGCAAAGTGAAAATGTGAAAATATATATGAAATTGAGTTGATAACATAATCGAAAGAGTCGATTATATTATCAACTCAATAAGCTGCCTCGAATAAGTCGAGGCAGCTTATTGGCGCGAAATTTGCGGCTGTCAATGCCAAACAATTGTTGTCATAAACTTAGGAAAGCTAAATGCTTGTAATGAAAGCTACTAGCGTGCACGGGCGAAAGCCTGGGGCCGTTCGGGCTACCATGCTGTCTGGAATCTTTGAAATCATAACTGTGACTTATACTAACGTCTTATTTGTCTCTTTTCTTCGTTATCACGAGGCTATGAGACACATAATTGTAAAATAAGAAATCTACGACGAGAAAGTGACGAATCGAAAGTATCGTGAGCGCATATTATGATGTATGCATTGGCATACCTGGACTAGAGCGATAGAGGAAAAAGAAAGTGAAGAGCAGAGACAGGCACTTAAAAAGAAGAATAAGCAGGGTCAGACCCTCACATGTGCAACAATTCTCGAACAAATAGGTGTGTACGTGTGCTGAACTTTGTAATTATAAATTGTGAATACATGTGACAAATATTTTCTTATTTATTTTGTGCATGTTATAAGTTATAAATAAATATAAACAAACAACACTAACCCGATAACTTTAAATCTAAATACCAAAATTATTAATTTACTGTGTTTTGTTATTTTTAACTCCTGCTTTTAGTTATTCGGTATTCGGCCGAATAGCGAAAAATAGGCCGAATAGGCCGAATACCGAATAGTAACTGAATACTCGTAACATCACTAGTTTATATATTTACTAGCTGTTACCCACGGTTTTGGCTGCAAGGATTCTGCAAGCAAACCACATTTATATTCAGTATTTCAACAACCATAGTAATCATTATATATATACTAGCTGCAAGGACCCGCTTCGCTGGGATTTTATATGTGGGCAAATAGTGACGATAGTGAAAGTAAATATAATTACATTATAGCCAATCTTACCCGTTTTCACAATATGCAAGAATTAGTTCCCCCGTTTCCAGACTAATTAGAAACCTGGTCCCGATTCTATTTCTGAACATCTCCTGTTCACGCCCAGTCAAACGAACTATTTTCAACTTTTCTGGAACGTTTACAATTGTTCTATAATCGAACAAATATTCGAATTTTATGTTCGAATTTAATTCGAACAAATTCGAATATAACATTCGAAATAGAAAACCACTTTCAGCCTTATATCTCCCGTACCGTTATAGCTATCGAGACACAACCCCATAGTGCACTAATGGAGACTTGGGGCTACTACCACATACAAAAACCATTCACGTGCGATGTGTAGTTTTGTCGGAAAAGTGAAATATAGGGACACACACGTCCATTTATATATATCTATATATATATATAAATGGACGTGTATGTCCCTATATTTCACTTTTCCGCCAAAACTACACATCGCACGTGAATGGTGTTTGTATGTGGTGGTAGCCCCAAGTCTCCATTCGTGCATAGGGGTGATTGCGTCTCGATAGCTATAAAAGTGCGGGAGATATGGGGCTTAAAGTGGTTGAAAGTGGCTTTCTATTTCGAATGTTTTGTTCGAATTTGTTCAAATTTGTTCGAATTTATTCGAACGATGTTGGAATTTGTTTGAATTAAATTCGAACATAAAATTTGAATATTGGTTCGATTATAGAACGATTGTAAACGTTCCAGAAACGTTGAAAATACTTCGTTTGACTAAACGTAAAAATTCTCTAATTAGTCTGGAAACGGGAGACCTAATTTTTGCATTCTGTGAAAACGGGTAAGATTAGCTATAAAGTAATTATCTTAATCTTCACTATCGTTACTTTTTGCCCAGCAAAGCGGGTCCTTGCAGCTAGATTCTAGATTACTTAGAATAACACTTTTTCTATATAAAAAAACTATATTACATACAAATAAAAACCCAGCGAAGCGGGTCCTTGCAGCTAGTTGTTATATAACGCCTACCGCCTGAAATAATGAGAATTGCCGAGAATCAAACGAACTGTTTTCAATTTGATCAATTTTATGGAACGTTTACAATTGTTCTATTATCGAACCAATATGAAATAACAAATTCGAATTTAAAATGGTTTCGAACATTTTTAAAATCGAAATAGATAAAAATACTTATAACAATGTTTGAAATGTTATCAATTTAATAAATCTAAGTACTCAATGAATATTAAAATTAGTTGAAAANACATCACTAGTTTATATATTTACTAGCTGTTACCCACGGTTTTGGCTGCAAGGATTCTGCAAGCAAA